GCGGGCGGCCGGTGCGGGCTGCCGGTGGATGCCTGGGACTTGGGGCTGGCCCTGTCAGCGGGGGCTGCGGGGCTGCAGAGATCCTTTCCAAACTTCCTGGCTCTCTGGCACCGAATTTCTCTTTCAGCTCCCAGTGGTGCCAGAGCTAGTTAGGTTCAAGTGAACTCGTGGGTGTTTACTGTGGCTCTGGCAGTAATTGAAGATGCTTGGAATTAGGTCAGACGAAGTTTGTGCCTGAAAGTTTGAGGCAAAATATCCCTTCTTGTTTGCTCCTTCCAGCATGTAAGCAGCAGCTGCATCCCCTCCCTATCTGAATCCCCTGCCTATCTGCGTCCCTGCCGCTCCCGGACTCCTGCTGCCAGCCAGAGCAGGCTGGGCACTCGCTGCGGCACAGCACCACGCCTGCAGACCTGGCCCTGGCGCGGGGTTCTTACCCGCGACTCCTCGGCGAGGTGGGCGTTCATCTCCTGCTCGCTGAGCGGCGGCATGTCGTGGATTTGCTTGTAGTATCGCTGCACTATCTTCCTGTACTCGGGGATCTCCTTGGCGTACAGCAGTTTATTGGTTGGAGAGTCCTAGAGCGAGAGGGAGACACCAAAATCAGACACTGCATTGTTCCTGTTGTAAAACTTTTCATCCTCTTTGTCTGAGCAGAGCAGTGACCATCAGACACCAACCACAGCCGGGTTCAGGGAACAGCTCCGCCTTTGGTCCTGGCTCCGCACAGACGGAGTGTGGTGGGATGGCACGGAGGCACAACATGGCTAATGACAGAGGCGCCTGCCCAAACACAGCAAGGTGCTGCGGACAGGGACCCCCACCTGCGAAGCCATGTTTGTAGCTACAGTGCCAGTGGAGGTGGGCTGAGTGAATGGGGTTTAATTTGCAGCAAGGGGAGGGCAAAATGCATGCATGGGGTCAGGCGAGGTGGCTGGCTGCCAGGTGATGCTCTGCAGACGATTGTAGTGCGACTGTGTCAGATAAAACACTTGTGCTCCCTAGCTCTGCGTGCGGAAATTGGTAATGAGGGAAGGGCTTCTGCATGCGTTTACTCGGGTCTCTTGAGCAGCCAGCCTGATTTAAACTGGAGAACAAAGCTCTCTTACAAGCTGAACTTTGTCAGTTGAAATGTTGCTCTCGGATTTTCATGTAGCTTTGATTTATTTTGCATTGGCTAACCCAGCCTGCCTGGCCTATATTGAGTGCATGTAAAGTAATTAACAGAAAATACTGAGTTCTCTTGATTAATGTCAGCTTGGACAAAGCAGCCTTAACCTCCCAGCCGCACGATCGGCTGTACCAGGGAAGGCGTAACCTCGCTTGCACTCCTTGCAGACACAAGCATGAGTGATTTTAACCTCAAGGCAATCCTGCCCCGCTGATATCATTACCCTGGAAATGAACCTGGACCACTGGCCTAGTGCTGCGTCCCAGAGGGAAACAGCCCAAGTTTGGGGACACGGAGATCAACGTGTCCCCTGCCCCGACACCCAAGTGTGGGAGTGCTCCAGAGTGGCTCTGGCAGGTGGAGGGGAGGGAGCAGCGTCAGAGGAGGCTCCAGCCACCAAGGCAGTGTCTCCAGCTGCACTGGGCAGTAAATAAGGAAGCCTGGGGTAGCTGCAATCTGCTGCTGCAATATGGAGCGTGGCTAATGCTGCGGGGGAAATGGGAAATGGGCACCAGGCTGTGGCACCAGATCCCGCAGCAGGTTATTTTCAAACCCAATGGCAAGGCATTGCAGGAATACAGCCAAGTTACAGAGCCTGCTCACAGCGTATTTTTTTTTTCTCCCCCTTGGAAACACGGAAGAAACCCATGCTGCCTCTTTTTTTAAGTTATTTTTTCATTTGTCTGTATTATGAAGAGATGAGTACTGGTTTATTAACTGCTTGTGCACTGTGGATGGATGGAGTCTGAGCTCACTTTCACATCTGCAGTATCAAGAGTATCATGCTGAAACCAGGGGCAGAGCCCAGCCTGGAAAACATGCAGCCATATACTGCGTGTATAAGCAAGCTGATTTTTGTGCTGAGGATTTATTCTTCCCACATTACTCAACAATTCCTTCACTTATGCTATTGTACTCCTGAAAAATGTTTCCATCTGCTGCCTGACTCCAGCTGACCCCTCTTCCCCTCATCTAAAGGTTGACAAGGACAAATTGTAGGTGTTTTGTAATGCGTGCAAAAAAAAGTCCAAAACCCAAACAAACAGAAAATCAAGCTCTCATTAGATCTTCCTCCAGTATTAATCTCTCCCAGTGGAGGCTTCCTGTTGCTCTCAGTCTGGGGGAGCAGGAGCAGTACCCGCCTCCTCCCTCACTCCGTTGAGTCCCCTCTACGTCACACCCTGTGCTGCTGCCAGCCCCTGGGGCGGCGGGGGACGATTTACAGCATTTCTTAATAAAACTTATTTATGTCGGGAAGTTTCAAATGTCAACGCTGTGCTCGGCCAAGCCGGTGGGAGCAGAGAAACCACGTGGGCTGGATGTCTCGCTGCTGCAAGCCCCGCAGGACTGTGCGTGGGAGCCTGACGGTGGGTGAGAGGACGCTGCCCATGCAGGCTCAGCGTCCCAGGCAGGCAGGATGAGTCCCTGGGCTCTGACCACATGCAGGAGGTGGCCAGTGTGCGATGGAAACACTGCCACCGGTGAGGAGCACCAAGTGCTCTACAGGCAGGGCTGTGGCAGTACGCACCATCTGTGTGCTGATGGATGTGTCCCTGGGATGGCCCTGGGCTGTCCCCACACCCCAGGTGAGCCAGGCTGGGTCTGGGCTGCCCAGGCAGATGCAACCTATGTTCATGAAGGCTTTGCTTGGCTCCTGAGCTTCCCAGGGCTCCCATAGGTGAGAGGCAGTGCAGAAACCACAGAGAGTGAGGAGTGAAGCTTCACCTGAAGCTGCATCATTTTCCCACTGGGGTTTACATCATCCCTCTGCTGCTGTTACGGCATTGTCAGACTGGTGCTGTCCCCAAAACCAGCCCTGACTGAGGGAGCTGGGCCTTCCCAGAGGAAAGCAGACACCCACCCACGCTTGCCTTGGTGCATCACCCCCCAACCCCAGCCAACAGCAGGGAGCATTCGTCTGCCCGTGCCCCAGCTCAGCCCCGTCAGGAAGCGTTACAGGCACTGAGCGAGGTGGGGGCTGTCTTGGGACCACGGGACAGCTCATGTGGCCCTGGGTGGCACCGAGCTGGCGGCTGGGTCTCACAGCAGCCTCGCTGCAGAGCGGGGCCAGGCTGGGTGCCTGTAAGGGTCCTGTTCCCCTGTCCTGGTCTGTGTCTGCGACTGATGTCCGGTGGGGATGGTACCTTGCCCAGCTGCAGGTCAGACAAGGAGCAGGCGTCGATGAAGGCCTGGGCTATCACGGACAGGCAGGCGTCGATGTGGTCTGTCTTGTCGATGTCGAAGACAAACTGGGGGTTCTTCAGGATGTTGACCCAAAACCGCAGAGGTAGGCTGCGAGGGAAACAAGCCAGGAACACACACTGGGTGAATTGTTGTACTCCAGAGGGAGAGGGGAGGAAATGCTGGAAAGATGACAATAGAAAGGGAATAGTAGAGGGGAAAAAAAGGGGGGGGGGGCTGGTTTCTGCTTTTTAATCACATCCTGGTAGCATAGAGCCTGGCTAGAGGGGCAGGCACACGTTGTCACCATGAGGAGACCTTTCTGCAGGCTGAAACACGTGGCATGGACAGGAGCCTTTGGGTACAGCCGTGCCCAGGTGAGCGCAGACCCCTGAGCCCCCTGCGGCCAGGGACACATCAGCACTGGCCATGTGGGGCTGCCTCTCCTGCTGGTTTGTGCAGCAATGGTATCAGCCAGTTTTCTGCCTTCCCCAACAGGAACCATCATCTGGTTCTGATGGTAAGCCTGGCCCCGTGAAATGCATGTCATGTGTCTTTTTTTTCTGCTCTCTCATCATTTTCTCCCTGTTATTTCAGCGCTCATTTGGGCATGGCACAGTTTCTGTATATCGCTTCTTCCTACCATCCCTCCTCAGCAGCCGAGGAGTGAAAGCCGCTATACATCTTTGCTCTACTGGCAATTAAAGGTAATGAAGGGTAGGCAAATCTGCAGCTCGATGGTTGTGTCTGTGTGCCTGCTATCCCAGCCAAATTTGTTTTTAATTGTCACTTGTTGGGCTGGAAACCAGTACTGTCCCTGCAGCTGAAGCCCTGAGCATCTCCTCAATGCTCCCTGCTCTCACTGGTTTCTCCCCAGCTCCATTTCCCCTTCACTTTGCCCCTCTCCTGCTGCTCATCGCAGCGCCCAGCACCGCTTCTGGCCTGTCCCCAGCGCTGCAGTGCCTGCCAGCACCCTGCTGTCACAGCACCAGCTCCTGGAGTCCCATGAATGCCCTGCAGTCTCAGCTTGGTTACAGAGATAAGTTGAGAAAAGTGCCCCTGAGGGCTGAAAAGCCAGAAAGCAAATGAAAAGGAGCCAAATGTGCCTGTTTTAAAACGTCCATGATGTTTTAAGACCTGACATGGTTCTGGACTCTGTCTCAGATCTCCAATGCTTGGAGCTAACACCACTGCTGCCTCCTGTCACTCCATCCCTCCCCTGTTTCTCCTTTATCTGTCTCAGTGTGCCACCTCGCTCTGCCCTTTACCTGCCTCTGCCCTCTCCTCCAGTTCACTGCTCCCCTGAGCTCCGTGGTTGTTCAGAGCTCTCCAAGCCTGCATTTGGCCTCATCTTGCGCTGCCCCCTCAACCCCCTCTCCTGTTTGCCAAGTCCCTTTTCTACTTTTAGCAACCTAATGACTAGTCCAGGACCCCAAGGCTTTGCAGCTTCTGCTCCTGAGATAGAAGGAAGGAAAGAAAGAAGAGATTTCCTCCTCCAAACCTGTTGGTCTTCCAGATGTGCATAGTGTCAGGGTCTGTGATCCCTCTTTTCTCTGCTTGCTCCTCCAGGAAGTCAAAGAAGTACTTGACGGCCACTGGCGGTTTATCATCACGGATGCTGAGGATGGCTTTGAACAAGTCATCCAGGAACTTCTGCAGCGTGCCCTGCGGGACAAGGACACACGGTGGAGAGCGGGGACAGCGGCAGCGCCCAGCCAGGAAAACAGCACGTGGGGTGCGACTGCTGCACACAAGGGGAACCCCTCTGCTGCCACTTGGATAAATCAGCAGGGGATGGGGACGCTGAGGCAGGGAGGGAAAGGTTTGTGCACAGCAATATAATTAGCTTGCATTTGGGTTTAATTTCTTTTGGCATCAAGACTTTTCTTTCTTACTGCTAGGATCTCACATCTGTGATTGTTCTGCACAGTAAATACAAGGAAGACTGGAGACTGCTGGCCATTCTTGTGATCTCTGCTCCAGTGAGGGATCATGCTGGGATTAAAGATGGGCTGGGAGCCCAATTGCTGGAGCGGAGCACTCGCAGAGAGTGGGGAAGTTAAAATCTGAATTAAGATCGCACAGACATTCCCCTGCACCCACAGCCCAGCATTTCCACCTCCCTTTCCCAGCAGAATCTCTCCTGGCTGTGGAGATGGTTTTGGGTCTGAACTGTGGAGCCCCAAGGTGGTCAGTGTCCCTTTCATGCACACAGACCCCAGACCGGCCTGCAGGGATGTCATGGGGCTTCACACAGCAGCAGCTGGGAAGCTGGGGATCCCAGGGAGCCAGGGGTGCGCTGCAGCCCCGCTCAACATGAGGGTCCAGGAGGGTCCCACTGCCTCGAGAGTGACAGCCCCCGCAGCCAGCACTCGCTGCAGACCACACCACCAATCCCCTCGACCGCGACCGGGGGCGTCCCATCCCCTACCTTTGTGGAGAGCAGCCTGGTCAGGTAGATCTCCGGCAGGACCTTCTTCCTGTGGCTCTGTCTGTGGGACTTCTTATGTTCAACTGACTCGTCGGTGGGGAGAACCTGGGCCGACATAAAACACATGTTCAGAGCACTCCTCGCTGGAAGTGTCACACTGAATTTTCCTTTAAGCATAGGATTTCAACTGCATATAAAATTCAGTTAAAAAGCAGTTACTGTGTTATAAATACACCCTTATATGGCTTTCGAAAAGTGATTCATAATACTGTTTTTCTGACATTTGTTTCTCTTGCGCTCTTTATTGCCTCTCTCGAGCGAGACAAAGAAATGAACCCCTCCGTCTCACTTTGCACGTCAGTCTGCTCGCCTTCCTGGCCTCGGCACAGTGCTCCTGTGCGGCTGCAGTTTGGGCTCCCAGGAGCCGTGCACAAGGCTTCCACGGAAATCAGCTTTTCTTAGACTTGGAAAAAGCGCAAGAACCACCAGCCAATAGTCCTACCCTGGCCTTTTTAAAAACAAAAATAAATATTGCACTGGCCAGGTCAGTTAAATACTGCTCTACAATGACCCAGCAAGCCGTTTAAGTCCATCTTGGCATTGTTCCACATATGCACATTCAGTTTCCCATCCCTTCTCCCTCCTCGCTCTGTGTGTACTTGTGTGTGCACGCACATGCGTGCATCGTGTGCTTGTACTCTGAGCACAGGAACTTTAGTGGAGAAAAAAAAAATCAGGCTATAAAATATTGTTGTTGTCCGCAACACTTCTTTCATAACAGCTTCTAGCAAAGTTTCGCACTTCGTACTTCCAGTGTGGCACAGAAGCAGGAACCAATAGATCTCGGCAGCCCTGGGAAGCAAGCAGTGTGTCAGGGGCTCCCGTAGGGTGACATGACCAAGGCGACGTGACCAAGGCAGTGCCGGGAGCTCCCGCAGCTGACGTGACCAGGGCTGTGCCAGGGGCTCCCATAGGTGATGTGACCAAGGCTGTGCTGGGTGCTGCTGGCAGCACCGCGCTGTGCTCTGACCTGAGCTCTCCATGGCTGCTGACAGCTCCATCAGGCACAATGATTACTTTGCCATCCTGGTAATTTTTCATTATGTCCCACAGTACTAAAGCTTGTCTACAGATAACCTTTCTGTGTCTCTTCTGAAGAAAACTAACGAGCCCTGATCCCGCTTGTTCATCACATCTGACATTCCAGTGCACAGAGATGAATTAAGTTAATATCAGCAAGGCTGAGAAGATTTTCTCCTCTTTCATCACACACTGAAATAACAGCACCCAGGGACTTAAATGCAGAAGAGACATGAAATTGCTGCAAGGGACGAGTGGCTCCCAGCCCCCTCAATGCAGTTACCAGCCTCGGCAGCTGGGAGCGGGGACTTACCAAGTGGAAGTACTTTTCGGTGTCCAAATCCTTCACTGTGAAGCACAAGAGAAACAGACACAGGTGTTTAGTCGAGGGGGACCCAAACCAAAAGCCACCCCCACAGATACCTGGGAGGTGTTGGGCTTTCCCCAAGAACCCAACAGCGAGCTGACGTTCTCAACCCACACGACCTAAGTGGGTTTGTGGTGGTGGTGGTTATCGGCTGCTGGGGTTCGTGGCAAGTAATTTGGGAAGTACTTTAAGGAGAACTTGAGGTCTCACAAGAAGCGTTTTAGGAGGGACTCAAGGTGGTGCAAGAGCAGGGTCAGCACAGGGGCACGCCTGCATCGCAATGCTCCATGATGCCCTGCAATGCCTTGCCCCTGCCAACCGTCTCCCAGCCCCAAGCAGCTCCTCGCTCCAGCGGGCAAAGGGAGACAAGCTCAGTGCGGGGAGCCTGAGATGGGGCTTTGAAACTCCTTGTTCAATGCATTTTTGTCTCCCTTGGCATGTACTGACTGCACAGCCTGAAACCTAGAAATACGCTGGCAAGTACCAAATGTGTGTAACTGGGATGGAAAAGGCTTTTCCAGTCAAATGGTTTCAGATCCTTCTTTTTTTTTTTCCGCACTTTCTTAGCACAGATTGAATGCAAACTCCTAATGAGGATGTGAGACAAAAGGTGCAAACACTTCTAGCTTCAGGGCTGGGAAAGCATTCAGCACGCCAGCACATGGAGAGAGGAGGGTACTGGATACCACAGTTTTAAAGCAAACCACAGGCATGACACTGGCATCTCCCGCAGTGCGTGTATCAGCACTCTACACTGCCCAGACCTCCTTCATTTCTCCTACAGAAGGAAAAGCGGGCACAAACCTCGACTTTTTTGCAAGGACACAGACAAGCCATGAAGTCAGAAGGGGTGTGGATAGGGGGGACGTTACCTCGGCTCAGTGTGGCATCCTTCTTGTCCGACAGACTCATGGCCAGGGACGCCCCTTCAGGGATCTGCACGTGAAGGGAAGAGCAGACGGTGATGATGGGACCCTGATGGTACCTCCACAGAGCCAGGCCCCAGGGAGATGCCGGGAGATGGGGGACGCTGGTGCAATGGCTGCTCTGCCACCACCATCCCCTGCGCCCACCCCTGCTCCTGGCCCTGACACCAGCAGTAACGGCACTGCCCGATGTGGAAAGGGTTTTTTAAACGCAAATGCAAGATAGTGAGGTTCTCAGATCCACCGGGAATCAGGCAAACACTTGTATCCAAGATACATTTTTGGATGCTGGCACCCGGTAATTCAAAGAGCGTGAAGCAGATGCTGCTTTGCCTTTCCCTGGAAGGGGAGAAGGAGCCTGGCCACAGCCCGAAGCCGGTGCCACCTCCCTGTGCTGTGGCCATGGCTCTCGGCGCGGTGGGACCTGTGCCAGCAGCGGGGCTCTGCAGCATGGCTGCTACACAAATAATAATATTAAGAAGTACTCGGCTCCGGTTTTGATTTTCCATGCACTGTTACAGACCAGTGAGGGTTATGCTCTCAGGCATACCAGGGAATATGGAAATAACGTAAGAATTTCTGGTTTCATTTAGTTTTAAAAGGAAAAACAGTCAAGAAAACAATGTGATTTGCTGCGTTTCCCCACACTTTTTGGCCTCTGCTCCTCGATGGCATCCCCTGCTCTCAGGGCAGGCAGCGGCAATCGTGCCAGTGATTTCTGCAGGAGTGCGGATGAAGAGCAGAGTGATACTAATCAGCCAAGCTGGTGGCCGTGGGGAATAGGAGCTTTTTTTCCCCTCCTCTTTCTGTTGTCAGTAATAACTTGTTTTGCATGAAGAGTGTTTAATTAGTTTCAGTGTGTTGCAATATTAACGAGCTTCTCGCCAGGGCAGATGTCTATTCCCCGGAAGCTCTCGCGGAGCTATGGCAACCTCCCTGCTTGTTTCTGATAATCCTGTTTTTGGAGGGGGAACTGCGCTCACCCCTGAGGCTCAGAGGCAGCCGAGCTTTCCTGCAGCGCTACAGCCTTACCTTGTAATGTGCCAATGTGTTGAGTTTCTTCCTGCCGTCCTCCACCACCGAGGTGTCATCCAGGTCCCGCAGGATGTAGCTGTCAGTGCTAGTGGCGAACCATTCTGAAGACAGAGAAGGGAGACGTGAGACACTGGGAGCCCAACAGGGGCATAGGCAGCAGGGCCTGAGGCTTCGGGGATGGCCCCGCAGTGCTCGGGGGCTGCACAGCCCCTGCCAAGGCCCCTGGGGCTGTGTGAGACCAGCGCAGATGTTCAGCAATGGGACTCAGGGTTAGTCCTGGAGTGGTGACTTCCAGACTGGAGCAGAGCTGGAGGGAGCTGGGACAGGGGACAAGGGCTCTGCTTGGAGCACATCTGCCCTTCCCCACTCCTGTGTGAGTGACCGGGGACAGGCCACGTGTGCCAGCCGAGAGGAGCAGGACCCGTGTTGCTCCAGCCCAGTTCCTCTACGGAGGCTCCCTCTGGCACTGGGGACACTGACCATCACGCTGTGCATCTCCACAGCCCACTGCATGGCACGGGGACACCACAGAGAGCACGGGGTCCTTACAGTCCTTACCGAGGTCGACGTCTTCCACCCTTGGCCACTGGGAGTAGGGGACATTCTTGCAGAAGGCCTCCAGGATTTTCTCCTTCACTTGGCTGAGCGTGTCCGTGTCCATGGCCCTGACACTCAGGGAGTCCATCCCGCAGCCTTGGAAGGAGACGTTGAGGTTCTGCGGGCAGAGGCTGGATTAGGGGCAAAGGGGTGACCTGCTTGGCTCTGCTGGCTCCTGAGGATGCACGGGGGCTGCTGTGCTCTCACTCTTGCACTCTGGGCCCTGTGCTGCTGGAAATCAGGCTGAACAAGTGCAGTTATCTGTGCTCTACCTCCAGCGAAGGGCGCTGATTTACAGCTCTCAATGGCCCGTTTGTTGACGGAGCTGGGAGGACTTGGAGCAATGCTGACGGCTGCCTCGCTAATGGCCTTTGCAGGGACCACCTCGGGGCAGAAGGCAAGGTCGGCCCTGTCACCAGCCCTCTCCTCGGCTCCTTGGCTCCGACGGGTGACGAATGGGGCTGCCGAGGATCCCTGCTCAGTGTCTCCCTGACGCAATGTCCTGAGCTCCTTTGTTTAGACATGATTTAAGCACGTCACAGGCTGAGTCTGCTGCAGCGCCAGAGCCCACCTCTGGCACCACCCAACAACCTGCTCCAGACTGTAGGGAACAGACAGACAAGTGGCTGCAGGCTGTCACGGACACCAGCTTGCACCACAGGGCTGCCCAGGTATGGCAGCAGAAAGCTGCAGGGCAATAAGAGTCCTATAAAAACCCCTCTCCTCTTCTGGGGGCTGGTGCCATGCCCGTCCTGTGAGGAGAGGCACAGTCTTGGCACCTCCTCATCCTGCAAACTGTGCAGACCCAAACGCTACAAGCACAGCGCCTTCCCCCTGCCCAGGGCTCTGCTCCAGGACAGCCTCCGCTCTCCGGTGTGCTCGGAGCCAAGGGCAGCCCTGCGCCCTCACTCGGGGGTGAATGCTGCCCCAAAGCCATCGTGCTGCCAGCCTGGCTGCCCAGGGCAGGAGCAGCAATGTCAGTGCATAAGCACAGCCACTTCTTGGACACCTGGCACACATCCGATTTACGGCTGGGGGTTTCACAGCTGAGGGCTTCCCTTGCAAACACTGCTTTTACGTGTCAGGACACAAAGTCAGCATCCTTGACAATGAGAACAAAATGAATGCACAGACGCAGTCTCCTTTTTTCCATAGCATTCAATGAAGGTATTTTTTCCACACTGTACACTGTGCAGGTGCTTTTTAAAGCAGAGGTTCAGTTACCAGCAATATGGGGGATGGCGGGTGAGTTAGCACTAACCCTGCATCGCTCTCCTTCCTCCAAAGTGCTCTGCTCGCTTCTCTTTCTCTTCTTGCAGACAAAGTAGGACGCAGCTGCACATCCCCAGCTCAGACTTATGAAGTTACCATTTCTGCCGAGAAAGCTAATACTTTGCACCCTGCTGCTAACCCCTCTTGGTCTGCGCTGTAAATTTACAGGTCAATTGGTAACAGGAATCTGCAGAGGATGTGGAGCTCGAACCTGCTCTGAGTTACGGTGACGCACATCTGGGGTAACCCACGGACTGCAGTGAAGCTGCTCCAGATTGATGCCAGGTGACTGAAAGCAGGGTCTGACCCAGGCTGTGGGATGGCATCTGCGGAGCTGTGTCAGGCACCGGGGGGACCGAACCCCTCACAACATGGCCCTGCCTGTCCCTTCCACAGGAGGGGTTTTGCAAAGCTGCTTTCAGCACTGCTGGGGTAACAGCCCGGGGCGCTCAGCTCTGCAGCCAGCACCTTCCCACTGCTGGTGAAGATGCTCTTTTGCCGGGAACAGTAAATCTTTTGGTTTTAACTCTCTGAATAGGTCAGAACAAATTCTGTTACCTCCCTCCACTCCTAATCTGAGGGACTTTGGTGACCCACGAAGGGATGGACACAAAAACCAGTCATTACGAGCCTGGTTCTGTAGCTGTGTGTGCAGGTAGCAGCAAGGTGCCTGTGCAGGTGTACAATTAACAAGGTTACCACACCTGCATGCGTACCAGATCAGCACCACCGCCCTGCAGGGGTACGCATCCACCAGAGCCCCCGAGTGCAGACACTCACCCGTGGCTTGGCCTCGATGTTCTCCCGCAGCAGCCACTCCTCGTTGAGGGTGT